TTATTATTATTATTATTATTATTATTATTATTATTATTATTATTATGCCTGAATGTTGCTCAACAAGACGAGCAAAACAACAAACTACACACTTCTGCTTTCCTGCACACATTCTTTCAAGAGTGTTGCCAATGGTGGGCAGATCATACCCGCCTAGGAAATGAAACTCCAACAGTGCTCCTTGACTCTTGCCATTTTTATCTGCTGCTAACAAGAGTGTAAGTGCAGCCCTTGCAGAAAAGGAGTGTATAAATAAACCTGACTTGACTGGACTAGCCTCTCCTCCCGCAACACCCCATGAAACCACCTTCAACACACCGGTTCAAAAGCCAACACAAAAGAAATGCCCAAGGCTGGCAGGCTTGCCCAGGGCGCTCCTCTCGCCCTCCACCCCCAGAACATGCGTGCAACACGGAAGTCCTCTGAACTGGAGCCAGAGTTCATGGCCGCGTACCGGCTCCCCCACACCCTCTTGGTCCGACCCTAAGTCAGCGGCAAGTGGTCCCATTGCCTCGAGGCACGCACAGAGTGCTTCCCTGATCCATAGGCACTCAGCCCCCCCTAGATGCTCTCTTCGTTTCTTTCCAGCCTCGTTTGGCGAACTCCCCCCCCCCCCCCCCCCCCCCCCATGCCAGGCACTCGTCTGGGCAAGCTCCCGAACAAGAAAGGACGAGCGCGCGTTAAAAGAGGAGTAGACCCACCTGGGGTGCATCCACGCTGTGTAGAACTAAGGCAGGTTGACATCCCTTTCCCTGCCATGCCTCTGGGCTAGGGAATCATGGCAGGACGTTTTATAAGCTTCCCGTGCTGGTGCCTCGCCAAACTACAACTCCTAGGATGCCACAGCATGCAGCCAGGGCACTTCGTGGTGTCATGCGTGGTGTCATGCTACACGCATTCTCCCGGTCTCTTTGGCCACCACAAGTCCCCGCCTTGGTATTTGGGGGTGCGTCTTCCTTCTCCCCACTCACCCCGTCTATTACTGGAGGGAAGACAGAGATCAATGCCTTCTCACTGGGAAGAATGTCAACACAGAGAGAGAAAGAATGCGGATCGATTCCACTTGAACTGCCCTGTCTCCACGCTCCGGAATCCTGGGAGTCGGAATGAGGTGCGACATCCGCACTCAGGACCTGTCCAAACCCCAACAACAGCCAGGATCCAATAAACAGGTTCGTTGTGAGTTTTCCGGGCTGTATGTAAATGTTCCAGAAGCATTCTCTCCTGACGTTTCGCCTGCATGTATGGCAGGCATCCTCAGAGGTTGTGAGACTATTGGAAACTAGGAAAGTTGGGTTTATATATCTGTGGAATGTCCAGGGTGAGAGAAACAACTCTTGTCTGTTCGAGGCAAGTGTGAATGTTGCAATTGGCCACCTTGATTAGCATTGAATGGCCTTGCAGCGTCAAGGTCTGGCTGCTTCCTGCCTGGAGTAATCCTTTGTTGGGAGGTGTTAGCTGTCCCTGATTGTTTCTTGTCTGGAATTCCCCTGTTTTTCAGTGTTTTTCTTTATTTACTGTTAGGATTTTCGCAGTTTTTAAACACTGGTGGCCAGTATTAAGACTTGAAGCCAGACCTTGAAGCTGCAAGGACCTGAAATGACATATTTGGAAACCCTAAACTGGAGTCAGAAGCATACCAAATAAAAGCACAGAAGGATTGAGAGAAGCCCACAAATCCTTCCATTTATGAACTTCTCTTGGTCATCCAGTGCTATTCTATGGTACGCTTGGGCCATAAGCATAACATAGAATAGCATTGGAGGATTAGGATGTTGTTGTTCATTCGTTCAGTCGTCTCCGACTCTTCCTGACCTCATGGACCAGCCCACGCCAGAGCTCCCTGTCGGCCGTCACCACCCCCAGCTTCTTCAAGGTCAGTCCAGTCACTTCAAGGATGCCATCCATCCATCTTGCCCTTGGTCGGCCCCTCTTTCTTTTGCCTTCCACTTTCCCCACCATAATTGTCTTCTCTAGGCTTTGCTGTCTCCTCATGATGTGGCCAAAGTACTTCAACTTTGTCTCTAGTATCCTTCCCTCCAATGAACAGTCGGGCTTTATTTCCTGGAGGATGGACTGGTTGGATCTTCTCGCAGTCCAAGACACTCTCAGAACTTTCCTCCTTAGGATACCCACTTGCAATTGGCCATCTTGAATGGTCTTGCAGCTTCAAGGTCTGACTTCTTACTGGCTACCAGCTCTTTCTCTCACCCTGGACATTCCACAGATATATAAACCCCACTTGCCTATTTTCCAACAGACCTCACAACCTCTGAGGATTCCTGCCATAGATGCAAGTGAAACGTCAGGAGAGAATGCTTCTGGAACATGGTCATACACCCCTGAAAAACTCACAACATCCTAGTGATCTATGGATACATAGATCCAAGAACACTTTGACACGAAAGTGGTGTCAAACTGCATTCGTCCTCCATTGTATAGATGACCCTTGTTTGGGGCTACAGAGAGAGAAGGTGGCCCAGGGGGCAATTGCATTCCCAACTCCTTGGATTGCCATGGCTCAATGCTATGGAACCCTAGGAGTCGGAGTTTCTCAAGATTTTCAGGTTTCAGTGCTAGCTCCTCAGAGAAGTACCCACATGCTCTGGGATCCTCCATAGCATTGAGCCAGGGCAGTTCAAGCAGTGTCTGCCTGAATCCTACATTTAGAGAGGCAGCCACAGGCTCGTGGTCACGCTCTAGAGAAGTCTTTCCTCGCATCTACACTGTAGGACTGAGGCAGTTCGACACCACCATGGCTCAATCGCGGGAGTTGGGCTCGGACACGGTCTTCAGCCTTATCCTCTACCAAAGGAAGATGGGCAGTTCAAGCGGGGTCGGGCTGCACCCAAGCTTCAGTCCAGACACCCCTGAAAAGCAAGGCGCGCAATCCGTGGCATCCACTCCCGAGTGGCGAGAGGAGGGCTCCGTCTTACCTTGGGCCCTCAGCTGGCCCGGGGAGAGCGAGCCCACCCGCGGCGCCCCGTGGCCCTGCCCCGCCTCCATGCCGCCTGGCTCGCTCGCTCGCTCGCTCGCGGGGCTCTTCCTCTTCGGGGCCCGGCGCTTGGAGACACGGGCGGAGCGGGGAGCGCCGCGCAGGGGCCCATCCAAGCCGCCCGGGGCCCCTCGCACGCTTCAACACCACCCACAACACCTCCAGCAGCAGCGGCGGCGGCGGAGGGCGGACGGGGAAGTGCAAGTGAGGCGAGAGGGAGAGACAGAGAGAGAGAGAGGGAAGGACGGCAAGGGGGAGGAGGAGGAGGAGGAGGAGGCGGGGTTGACTGGGGAGGCGAAGCAACAGCCTCCCCGAGGAAGGAAGCCTCTTCCCTCGCGCCCGCCCCTCCAAAGCCCTCCAAACCCGGCTCAAGGCAGCTGGTCAAGGCGCGCGAGTCCGGACCCGCGCGGTGCCTGTGGCTCTGCGCCTTGGGATTGGTCGGAGGGAGGGCAAAGTTGGCTGGAGGGAAGGCGCGCGTGTTCCTGTGGAAGTGTCTCTGAGAGAGGGGGGGGGGGAGACAAGGGGAGAGAAAAGGGGAATAGAGAGAGGGAGATAGAAAAAAAAGGAAAAGGAGGGAGACTGGAAAAGAAGGAAGGAAATAAATTAAAAAAGAGAGGGAGGGAGAGAGGGAAAGGAAGGAAGGAAGGAAGGAAGGAAGGAAGGAAGGAAGGAAGGAAGGAAGGAAGGAAGGAAGGAAGGGGAGGATGGAAGGGAGAAAGGGAATGGAGAGGGGGAGGGAGGGAGGAAGAAGAAGGAAGGAAGGAAGGAAGGAAGGAAGGAAGGAAGGAAGGAAGGAAGGAAGGAGAGAGAGAGGAAGGAAGAAAAGAATGGAGAGGGAGGAAGGAGGAGGAAGGAAGGAAGGAAGGCGAGGAAGGAGAGGAAGGAAGAAGGTAACCAACGTTACCAAGAAGTCTTGTTTTACTTTATGGAGGGAAAGGAGAGTAAGGAAAGACCTGGAGGTAGCACTCTGAGGGAACGTGTGTGTGTGTGTGAGTGAGTGAGTGAGAGAGAGAGAGAGAGAGAGAGAGATGGAAAGGGTCACCAACTGACCAAGGAAAACTTCCACTGTTGTTTGGAGCTGCCTTAAAGGAAGGAAAGGTGAATAAAGAGACTTGAAGGCAGCACTCTCAGGGAATGTTTGTGTGTGTGAGAAAGAGATATGGAAAGGGAGAAGGTCACTAGTTGACCAAGTAACACTTCCACTGTTGCTTTGAGCTGCTTTAAAGGAAGAAAAGGTGAATAAGGAGACCTGAAGGCAGCACTCCGAGGCAATGTGTGTGTGTGTGTGAGAGAGAGAGAGAGAGAGAGACAGATAGAGAGAGAGAGATGGAAGGGGAGGTCACAGTTGACCAAGTAACACTTCCACTGTTGCTTTGAGCTGCCTTAAAGGAAGAAAAGGTGAATAAGGAGAATAAGGTGAATAAGAAAAGATGAAGGCAGCACCAGTCTGAGGGATTATGTGTGTGTGTGTGTGTGAGAGAGAGAGAGATGGAAAGGGAGAAAGTAATTAGTTGACCAAGGAACACCTCGACTATTGTTTTGAGATGCCTTATAGGAAGGAAAGGTGAATAGGGAGAGACCTGAAGGCAGCACTCTGTAGGAATGTGTATGTGTGTGTGTGAAAGAAAGATTAAGAGAGAAGGAAAGAAAAGAGAAAAAGAAGCTAACCAATGTGACCATTGTTTAGCTCAGGGGGCAAAGGAAAAGAAAGAGAGACCTGAAGGCATCACTCTGTGGGAATATGTGTATATGAAAGATTTAGAAAGAGGGTGGGGGAAGAGAGAAGGGAGAAAACAGAGAAAGGAAGAGAAGGTGGAATCAAGAGAGGGAGATAGAAAAAGGTAAAAGAAAGAAAGAGATAGAAAGAAGGGGAGGGAGAAGGTAACCAACCTGACCAAGGAGTCTTGATTTACTTTAAGGAGTGGAAGGTAGTAAGGAAAGACCTGAAGGCAGAACTCTGAGGGAAGGTGTGTGTGTCTGTGTGAAAGAGAGAGAGAGATGGAAAGGGAGAAGGTAACCAGTTGACCAAGGAACACTTCTACTGTTTTCTTGAAGACTCTCATGGCCGGAATCACTGGGTTGCTGTGAATTTTCTTGGCTGTATGACCATGTCCCAGAAGCATTCTCTCCTAACATTTTGCCCACATCTATGGTCAACCCCTGAGGATGCCTGTCATAGATGTGGGCAAAACGTCAGGAGAGAATGCTTCTGGAACATGGCCGTACAACCTGGAATACTCACAGCAACCCACTTCCACTGTTGCTTTGAACTGCCTTAAAGGAAGGAAAGGTGAATAAGGAGAGAACTGAAGGCAACACTCTGCACGAATGTGTATGTGTGAGAGAGAAAGATTAAGAGAGAAGGAAGGGAGGAGAGAGAGAAGGAAAGAGAAAGAAAAAGAAGCTAACCAATGTGACCAAGGAACATCTCAATTTTTTAGTTCAGGGGGCAAAGGCAAAAAAGAGAGAGAGAGAGAGAGAGAGAGAGAGATCAGAAGGCAGCACTCTGTGTATATGAGAGTATGTATATGAGAGATTTAGAAAGAGGGTTGGGGGAGAGAGAAGGGGGAAGAGAGAGAAAGGAGCTAACCAATGTGTGACCAAGATAGATAGAAGAAACAGACAGAAGGAGAGAGGGCAAGAGAAGATAACCACAGTGAGGAAGGATCACTGCAAATAATGAGAGAACTGAAAGCAGCACTCTATGGGAGTGTGTGTGCGTTCGCGTGCATGTGTGTGTGTGGAGAGAGAGAGAAAGAGAGGGAGGGAGAGAATGTAGCCAACCTGATGAAGCTGCACCTCCTCTGTTATTTGGCTTAGGGGGGAAAGAGGGATAAGGAGAGCTCAGACGAGGATACATAGGCTTATGCATGGTCTGGAGAAAGGCGATAAGGAAAAGCATCTCTTTTTTCTGCCTCTACTAATAGATGTTGGTCCAAAAATTTTGGGACCAAAAACATTCCTTAATTCAAATTCTTTTTGCCTTCTGGAAGACTTGCATATAGGGCATGAGATATCTTGGGGATAGGGTCCATGTCTAAACAAGGACTTCATTCAATCATGGAATCCTAGAGTTGGAAGAGATCCCAAGTGCCATCTA